CAAAGATGAAATCAGGGATAAAAATTAAAAGTAAAAAAGAACTATAAAGCCAAATGGTATTACAAAGACGGTCATATGGTTTTCATGCATTGTTTACATTTGGTAGTGTATTAAAAAAAAAAAACAAAGTTAGGTTTAACATTTGTGTGATATAATTGTGTGTTATAATTGTGAGTAACATTTAGGATATAACAATTATATGGTTCAGTTATTCAGTATTTATTTGGTTTTGAGTGAGTAAGTGAACTTTGAGAAGAGACTTGAATTTATAAACAGGTAGTGTTTCTTTTATAGTTACAGGTAATGAATTCCAGATTTTAGGGCCTTTTATGTGCATTGAGTTTTTGCATAGTGTGAGATGGACACGAGGAACATCAAAGAGTGATCTGTGCCTTGTGTTATGGTCATGTGTTCTGTTGAGGTTGGCAAGGAGATGTTTGAGGGGAGGGTTAATATCAGAGTTAAGTGTTCTATGTATGTAATAAGTGCAATAATAAGTATGGATGTTTTGTATGGTGAGTAGGTTTAGTGTTTTGAATATTGGTGGAGTGTGCTGCCTGTAGTGAGAATTTGTTATCATTCTAACTGCAGCCTTTTGTTGGGTAATTAGTGGTCTGAGATGGTTAATTGTTGTTGAGCCCCATGCACAAATTCCATAGGTGAGATAGGGGTAAATAAGAGAGTGATAAAGGGCCAGGAGGGCTGACTGTGGAACATAGTACCGTATCTTCGATAGTATGCCTACAGTCTTCGAAATTTTCTTAGAAATTTGTTGTATATGTGTATGAAATTTGAGTCTATTATCGAGGTGGATTCCTAAGAATTTTCCCTCTGTTAGCTTTGTGATAGGTGATCCGTTTATCGTTATGTTAAGAGGTACATCTGTAGCCTGCTACCAAACTGAATGAAGTAGGTTTTGTCAATGTTTAGTGTAAGTTTGTTAGTCCTCATCCAGGTAGATTTTTCTGTAATTCGGTGTTTACAGTATTGGCTAGCGTGACTGGGCTCGGGTGAGAGAAGACGTATGTAGTGTCATCTGCAAAAAGTGTGGGTTTGAGTAATTGCGAAGCATTTGGTAGGTCATTTATGTATAGGAGAAAGAGAAGAGGGCCAAGGACACTTCCCTGTGGGACACCAACTGTAATTGGTTGTGCGGAAGAGCTTGCCCCATTTGCGTACACATATTGGCTTCTGTTGCTGAGGTAAGACTTGAGGTAGTTGAGGGAGTGCCCTCTAATACCATAGTGTGACAATTTTACGTGGAGCAAGTCATGGTCAACTGTATCAAAAGCTTTACGTAGTCAATGAAGATCCCCAGTGGGACTTTCTTTTTTCTCTATTGCAGTGTATATATGTTCTAGCATGTGTATAATAGCATCATTAGTATTTTTATTAGGCCTGAACCCAAATTGGCAGGGGTTGAGAATGTTATGGGAGATGAGGTAGGAGTAGATTCGTTTATGAATTAATTTTTCGAAGATTTTTGAGAGAGGGTGTAAATTGGATATTGGCCTATAGTTATTCAACTCTGTTTGGTCTCCTCCTTTATGGATCGGGGTGACCCTTGCTATTTTGAGAACTGTAGTGAAGGTGGAGGATTCAATGGATTTGTTAAAGAGTGTTGCAATGATTGGTGATAGTACTTGTGACGCTTTTTTGTATATAAAGGGTGGTAAGGTATTTAAATCTCCTGCCTTGTTTTTCAGTGCGTTGATAATAAGGGAGACTTCGTATGGGTTAGTCGGAGCTAGTTAGTTAGTTTAATATGTTTATTATGCACCCCATACCCATCCTGTGGGCGGTAGTCAAAAGATTACAGAGGTACATAATGGGTCCAGGGACTGGGCCTCAAAGTTTTGATAGCTGAGCAAATTACAGAGGTAATGAATTCACAATTTACAAAGGTAATGAACTCACAATTTACAAAGGTAATGAACTCCAGGTAGGTCTAGTCGGAGCTAGGAACAGTGTGTTCGGGTAGTTGCCAGTGAGGTAGTCATTTGGTGGGGTATCTGAGCTTGGGATATTATTGGCAAGGTTTTGGCCTATAGTGGAGAAGAAATCATTGAGTCTGTTTGCTGTTTCTGTTGGTGGGAGTTGGGGTTCATCTGATTTTGCTAATTTTATTTCGCTATGTCGTAATATCTTTTTTGTTCCCAGAATTTCTGATAGGGTCTTCCAGGTCTTTTTTATATCACCTCGTAAGTTGGATAATCTGTTCTCATAATACAATTTTTTTGCCCTTCTTATCAGGCTGGTTAGGATTGACGAGTAACGTTTTGTTTGGTCTCTGGTTATGTGACCCATTCTGTACTGTTTTTCATATCGATGTTTTGTATTTATGGATTTGAGAATGCTGGGTGTTAGCCAGGGACTGTTCAGTCTCTTAGCTGTCATCTGTTTAGTTTTTTTAGGGCAGTGCTTGTTATAAAGGTATTGGGTTTTTTTTAGAAAATTATTAAAACAATCGTCAATATCTGTATAGATTTCTAGCTCAGTGTGCCAGTCAATGTTTGTTACTGCTGTTGTGAAGTTATTAATGGCTGCCTCATTGTGAAGTCTGAAGGTGACTTTTGTAGTTCTTGGGGTATTTTACCAAGAGTTGTTATGAGGAAAGTAGGGTAGTGGTCTGTGGTATTATCTGTAATTATGCCTGATTTTAAAGGGGATATGGTGTTGGTCCAGATGTGGTCAAGTAGGGAAACACTAGTCTCTGTAACTCTTGTAGGTTTTGTTACTGTTGGTAGCAACATGCAGTTACTCATTGTGTTTGTGAATTCAGTAACGTGCGGGTCCTGGTCTTGCAGGAGATTTATATTGAAGTCACCTGAGAGTAGTAAGTGATCTTTGTTCATGCGTGCATCAGTTATCATACTTCCTAGGTTTTGACTAAATTGGCTAATGTTTGATTGTGGAATTCTGTAGATGTTTATCACTGTGAGAGGTTTTTGTATGGTATTTGGATTTGAGTTTAGCTATTATATATTCCCATGTTCATCCCTTGTGCAAGTATTAGTGATACATTCTAGTTGGTCTGAGTAGTTTTATAGCAGTGCCACCCCTTGTTGGTCTGGCCTACAGTTGTGTATGGCTGTGTAACCAGGAATGGCATAGACATCTGTAGTATCAGGCTTTAGCCAGGTTTCAGTTAGTGTAATGATGGACATATTGGCATGCAAGGAATTTAGTAATGCTAGGAGGTCATCATAATGCTTGCTTAAAGATCTGATATGGTAGTTAAAGATAGTTATGTTGTTGTTGGCTCTGAGAAGTGCCTTTGATTGTTCTGCAGTGTAGTAATTACAGTAACTGTTTGAATCATTTAAGTCATTAAATAAGAGGTTGGTATCAGGATCAATGCTTGTAATCATAAGATTTGTAGTGAATCTATAGTTAGAATTAAGTAAAAAAATAAAGTAAATATTCTAAAGCTAAAAAAAAAAAAAATAGCACCTGAATTATTTAACAAATGTAAAAAAATAATGAGCTAAGGTAGTTTTTTAAAGCTAAAATAAAGGAGACAAATAAAAGGGACTAAAATAATTTGTGGTGAACAAATAAAGTGATGATCAAATAATGGAGCTTGGGAATATGATAGTAGGTAGTAATTTAAAGGTAATTCTTTAAAGTTAGAATTATAATATAAAATTATAATATAAAAGGGACTAATATAAGTTGTGGTGAACAACAAAGTGGTAATCAAATAAATGAGCTTTGGAGTATAATGGCAAAATAGTGAACTTATTAACTTTAGCACCTGAGAATAGCACCTTGATTAGTTTAACAATTGCGAATATATGATCTAAGGTAGTTATATAGAGCTAAAATAAAGGACAAAAAAATATATAAGGGACTACAATTAGGTAATTGTAAACAAGTTAAATGGACAGATGGTCACTATGAGATAATATTGGTTTAGAAGTAAGATCTGATTTGTAATATTAAATAAGTTGAGCAGTTTATTGCACAATAAAAAGTAAAATAAAAAATGAGGTAGTTGGTACTAGCTAGCAAAAGATAGTTTTGGTACTTGCAAAAAAGTAATTGGAATATACAGTAATTGCACACACAATAAAAAGTGACTAAAAAAACAAGTAGTGGTAAACAAAATTAAATGGACAGGTAAGAACAATGAATAATGGTAATGTCTTGGTTATAATATGATAGTAAGATGGTAGACAGGTACACAGGTACACAAGTACACAGATACACAGGTACACAGGTACACAGGTACACAGGTACACAGGTACACAGGTACAAAGGATAATATAAAGGTTGGAGTTGAATATACAAACTTGAAAAATTGGCATCAAAATGTTATGGGAAGTATAAAATAATGTTTAATGTACAAAAGTAAAATTGACTGGTAGTAAATATGGTGTTTAATAAAATTTTAGTAAGTAATAATTATTACAAAAAAGTGAAAAAGTAATGTTTATTTCATTCAATATTGCACTGGTAGTTATACTTGAGGTTATATGGCAGTACAAGGTAATTAAGAGTACTCTAAGATAGTAAATGTGGTATTAAAACAGATAAAGGTAATTAGACAAGTAATGGTTATTAAATGTCAAAAATGTTAAGAGTAAATTGAAATTATTGTAAAAATGATAATTATTAATTTTAGTAAGTAATATCAATTGATAGTATTTAAAAAAATATGAGGTAGTAATATGGACAGAGAAAGTATCAATTCAGCTAATGTTTAAGCAAACAATAGTAAATAAGAAAATTACATAAGGTGACTTATGCTTACTAGTAAAATCACAAAATGAGGTAGTTGATTATTTAAATACTAAGAGATTGTACAATGAAATTTGAACAATAATGGAGCAAAACATACACTACACTACGTAGGCTTTTAAGTTGAACATTGTTTAGTTATTCTCTGTAAGATTAGTATCCCTGAGAAATCGTGATAGATCATTCTCGTTCGTGATTGTGTACAGTTGACCTACTACTACTACTACTACCTCCACCTCTTCCTGCCTATATATAGCCGTCCTGCTCCACCTCTGTTAGTGTGACTTTGTCAATGGTCCAAGTCGGACCGAAACGTCGTCGTAAGCTTCTCTCTTTTATGTGCGGGTTATTTGTGTATTGACCTACATTTGTTTTCCTAACAAGAATTTTCCCATCCCGTGTGAAACATTGGTGTATTGTGTCATTATTCTCCCGCTTAAGTTTTCTGACTATACAGGAGGTTCTGACGTTTTTTGGTAAGACACTCGTTTATGTACGTATACCTCTTTCTTTACTTTAATAGATGCAATAATTAAGTCTTTTCCTGTCATGTGAGTGGAATCTAAGCATAACACTTTTTCTACCATGGGATCCTAGTAACCTGGCTTCTTTTATTTCAGACTCTGGTACAATAACACTTGTTTGGTCCTTTATGATCTGCAGAGTAATTTCTTTACTGTTTGTTTGGTTCATATCACTGGGAAAAGGTGGACTGTTAACTATTACTGCGTCCAATAGTTTATCTTGTTCAGTTTTATCTTCTTGGAGAGCAAAGTAGTCGCTGAACTGGTTATCTAAGTTGTTCTTCCATTCTTTTACTGCTTCTTCAACCTTTGTATTAAGAGATATTATTTGTTGGGTATAGCTATCTATGACTGTTTGGATGGTCTTGTCACAGTTAGTCATTCCTGGTGTTGATAACTTTTGTTCAAGACTGAGGATTTTGTTCTCGAGTTGTGTCATCCTGGTGTCTTTTGTTAGCGTCTCTCGAAGATTCATATTTTCAATAGCTAAGTTGGAGATGCATGACTTTAGGGTATGTGGATCGTTGGTCATACCTGAGAGACTACTTGGTAGGTTGAATCCGGGGAAGAGAGGGGAGGATGGGCTGGTGGCAGCCATGGTTGTTGTTATTGTTGTGGTGTGGCCTTGAGTGGTGGAGAGTGGGGTGGTTGCTGGGCCGGCGTCCTCCTGGCTGCACTTGTTGAATAGTTGATTTTTCGGCGTTTTCTTGCTGGCCTTGGTGCTGTTTCCTCTTAGATTGCGCCTCATAATACTACAGGAATTGATGTAGTTTAGAAGTTGTAGTTATACAAAGTTTAGGGTTACGTTGTTCGGCTGGCAGCGGGGTGTTGCTATCAGTTTGTGGGCAGTCTTCCTTTGATCTCTATTATGTTCGATTTGTAGGTTTCACTGTTGGTAATCTTTGGTCATTCTGGGTGCTACGTTGCGTAGTGCAGTTTTGCAAGTAACTAGGTCATCATAGGAGCATTGGTAGCTCTGATAGTTGGAGAAAAATACGGAGCTTGGAGGTCACTGCTGCCGCTGCCGCTGCCACAAGGACACTTCAGAGTCCATCCCTTCCATCATGTCATTCACATATATCAAAAATAGCACTGGTCCTAGAACTGACCCCTGTGGGATCCCGCTTGTCACAGGCACCCACTGTGATACCTCTTCACGTACCATGACTCGTTGTTGCCTCCCTGTCAGGTGTTCTCTGATCCACTGCAGTGCTCTCTGTTATATGCACCTGATCCTCCAGCTATTGCACTAATCTCTTGTGAGGAACTGTGTCAAAGGCCTTCCTGCAGTCCAGGAAAGTACAATCCACTCACCCCTCTCTCTCGTGTCTTATTTCTGTTACCTTGTCATGAAACTCCAGAAGGTTTGTGACACAGGATTTGCCTTCCATGAATCCATACTGGCTGTCATTTACAATCTTGTTCAGTTCCAGGTGCTCCACCACTCTCCTCCTGATAATTTTCTCCGTGGCTTTGCATACAATACACGTCAGTGACACTGGTCTGTAGTTTAGTGCCTCGTTTCTGTCTTTCTTAAAAATGAGGACTACTTTTGCCGTTTTCCATATCTCAGGCAGTTGCCCAGTTTCAAGGGATGTATTGAAGATTGTGGTTAGTAGCAGGCACAGCATCTCTCCTTCTCTAAGGACCCACGGAGAGATGTCCGCTCCCATCGCCTTTGAGGTATCAAGGTCACTTAGCAGCTTCTGCACCTCCTCCTCCATTGTTTGTATGTCATCCAACACCTCTTGGTGCATTCCCTGTTGATGTTTTCCTCTGTGCTGTCTTACATAAGAACATAAGAAAGAAAGAACACTGCAACAGGCCTACTGACCCATGCAGAGCAGGTCCATGGTACCCCCCCTGGATTAGACCAATGACCCACCCCCCAGATTTTCCGAATGACCCACCCAGTCTAGTCATCCCCTCTCAAGGATGGAACACTGCACCAGACCCAGCAGCACAAGCTAGTCAGGTCCAACTCACACCCACCCACACCCACTCATGTATTCATCTAACCTATTTTTAAAACTACACAATGTTTTAGCCTCAATAACTGCACTCGGGAGTTTGTTCCACTCATCCACATCTCTATTACCAAACCAGTGCTTTCCTATATCCTTCCTGAATCTGAATTTTTCCAACTTGAAACCATTGCTGCGAGTCCTGTCTTGGTTGGAAATTTTCAGCACACTATTTACATCTTTTATTTATTCCTGTTTTCCATTTATACACCTCGATCATATCTCCCCTAATTCTACACCTTTCGAGAGAGTGCAGATTCAGGGCCCTCAGTCTATCCTCATAGGGAAGATTTCTGATACATGGGATCATCTTTGTCATCCTCCTTTGTACGTTTTCCAGAGCATTTATATCCATTCTGTAATACGGTGACCAGAACTGAGCAGCATAGTCTAAATGAGGCCTAACCAAGGATATATAGAGTTGAAGAACAACCTGAGGACTTCTATTATTTATACTTCTAGATATGAAGCCAAGAATTCTGTTAGCTTTATTGTGAACACTAATGCACTGTTGTCTTGGTTTTAGGTTATTGCTAACCAGAACTCCTAAATCCTTTTCGCAATCGGTAGTATTAAGATCTACATTATTTAGTTTATATGTGGCATGGTTATTTAACTGTCCAACGTTTAGAACTTTGCATTTGTCAATATTAAACTGCATCTACCACTTCTCCGACCATTGCATCAGTCTATTCAAATCATCCTGGAGTGTTCTAGTGTCCTCATTAGAATGAATTGGACGGCCTATTTTGGTGTCATCAGCAAATTTGCTTATGTCACTATTTATTCCCTCATCTATGTCGTTTATGTAAATTGTGAACAACAACGGGCCCAACACTGACCCCTGAGGAACACCGCTTGTGACGTGTCCCCATTCTGATTTCTCCCTATTTATGCAAACTCTCTGCTGTCTATTTGTCAGCCATGCCTCTACCCAGGAAAAAATTTCTCCTCCTATTCCGTGTGCCCTAAGTTTCCTCAATAGCCTCTGGTGTGGAACTCTATCGAAAGCCTTACTGAAGTCCATATACACAATATCATATTCATTACCATGATCCACATCCTCAAACACCTTAGTGAAAAAAGTTAGTAAATTCATAAGACAGGAACGCCCCTTTGTAAAACCGTGTTGAGAATCATTAATCAATCTGTGCCTGTCAAGATGGCTATTGCTTCGGCAATTATTGATTCCATAAATTTTCCCACTATGGAGGTAAGGCTTATTGGTCTATAGTTCGAAGCCAAGGACCTGTCACCTGCCTTGTAAATAGGTATTACATTTGCCATTTTCCACTTATCAGGCACTATGCCAGTTTGTAGTGATATGTTAAAAGATTAGCCAAAAGTATGCTAAGTTCCTCTTTACATTCCTTTAACACCCTTGCAAACAGTTCAGCAGGACCTGGGGATTTGTTAGGTTTTAGTTTCTCTATTTGTCTGAGGACCATGTCACTAGTTACTGCAATCGTGCATAGTTTATTATCATCCTGTTCTACATAATCTATTATTTCAGGAATATCGCTAGTATTTTCCTGGGTGAAAACTGAGAGGAAGTAGGTATTTAGAATTTCACACATATCCTTATCACTGTCAGTGATCTGACCAGAGTTACTCTTCAGTGGGCCAATTTTGTCTCTAATCTAACTTCTGTATACCTGAGAGAACCCTTTTGGGTTAGTCTTTGAATCCCTTGCGACCTTAGCCTCATAATCCCTTTTTGCTTTTCTTATTCCTTTTTTTTATTTCTCTCTTTAATTGAATATATTGATTTCTTAGCTGCCCATCCCCTGTTTTGATAAGCCTATATATGCCTCTCTTTTGACCAATGAGATGTTTTAATCTATTGTTCATCCATTTGGGATCATTTTTGTTACATCTAATTTCCCTACTCGGAACAAAAGTTGTCTGGGCAGCTAGAAATATGGTCTGAAAAACGTCATATTGGCAACCAAGATCACCTACCTGACCCATAGTCAGGACATCCCAATTTAGCCCACCCAAGTAATTTTTCAGTCCCATGAAGTCGGCCAAGCGAAAATCTGGGACAGAGATTTGATTGCAGTTATCTGGGTAATTCCATGATATATTGAAACAAGTGATTTGTGATCACTTTCCCCAAGCTCATTAACCTCAAGATTAGTAATTAGTGAATCTTTGTTGGCAAGAACCAAGTCAAGCAGATTGTTTCCTCTAGTTGGTTCTGTCACAACCTGTTCTAAAAAGCAATGCTAAACCGTATCAAGAAAGTCACTAGACTCAAGATTTCCTGTCATATTGTTCCAATCAATTTGTCTAAAGTTAAACTCTCCCATTATCACAACATTTTCATATCTAGATGCCTTATGAATTTCGTCCCATAGCAGCTTATTGCCCTCCCTATCAAAGTTTGGGGGCCTATAAATCACACCCAAAATTAATTTGTCATGTCCCTCGAGAAACTGTAGCCAAACCGATTCTGTGTTCGATGTTTCTAATCTTATATCATGTCTAAGACAACAATTTAAATATTCTCTGACATACATCGCCACACCACCACCCTTCCTGTTGACCCTATCAGTGTGGAATAGTTTATAACCCTGCATGTTGCATTCAGAAGGCATTTCTCTATCTTTCAGGTTGAACCAGGTCTCTGTTATACCAATAATATCTATATTACCTACACTTGCAAGTAATTTTAGCTCATCTATCGTATTTCTTAGACTCCGAGAGCCCATCCTGTCTCTACTGTAAATACTTCCTTAAATCTCCTGTTTAGCTCCTCACATACCTCCTGATCGTTTCTTGTGAGTTCCCTACCTTCTGTCCTTAGCCTGATCACCTGGTCTTTGACTGTTGTCTTCCTCCTGGTGTGGCTATACAACAGTTTCGAGTCAGACTTGACTTTCGATGCTATGTTATTTTCATACTGTAGCTGGGCCTCCCTCCTTACCTGTGCATACTCGTTCCTGGCTTGTCTTCTATGCCTTCTGTACCTTTTCCATTCTCTATTGCTCTTAGTTTTTTGCCTCCTTACATCATCGGGTAAACCAGGGGCTCGGTCTGGTTTTCCCATTATTTCTGTTGCCCTTGGGAGCAAACCTTTCCTCTGCCTCCTTCCATTTTGTTGTTACGTATTCCATCATTTCATTTACTGATTTTCCTACCAGTTCTCTGCCCCACTGAATCTCCTGCAGGAATTTCCTCAAACCTATGTAGTCCCCTCTTTTATAGTCTGGCTTTTCCCATTCAACTCCTGTTACCCTCTCCACTTGTAACTCTACTATGTATTCAAAGCATAGAACCACGTGGTCAGTAGCTCCTAGGGGACTCTCATATGTGATGTCCTCAATGTCTGAGCTGTCCAGGGTGAACACAAGGTCCAGTCTTGCTGGTTTGTCCTCCCCTCTCACTCTGTGTGTGTGTGTGTGTGTGTGTTGTGTGTGTGTGTGTGTGTGTGTGTGTGCTCACCTATTTGTACTCACCTATTTGTGGTTGCTAAGGTCGAGTCATATCTCCTGACCCCACCTCTTCACTGATTGCTAATTGGTCCTCTCCCTGCTCCATGAGCTTTATCATACCTCTTCTTAAAGCTATGTATCGTACCTACCTCCACTACATCACTTTCCAGATTATTCCACTTCCTGACAACTCTATGACTGAAGAAATACTTCCTAACATCCCTGTGACTCATCTGAGATTTCATCTTCCAGCTGTGTCCCCTTGTTGCTGTGTCCCCTTGTTGCTGTGTCTCATTTTTGGAGCATTCTGCCCTTATCTACTTTGTCAACTACTCTCAGTATTTTATGTCTCTCCTGCCCTCCAGTGTTGTCGACAGGTTGTGTTCCTTAACCTCTCTTCGTAGGACATACCCCTTAGCTCCAGGACTAGTCTTGTTGCAAACCTTTGCACTTTTTCTAATTTCTTGACGTGCTTGCCAAGGTGTGAGTTCCATACTGGATACTGCATACTGGAGGTGCATACTCCATACTGGAGCTGCATATTCCATACTGGAGCTGCATATTCCATACTGGAGCTGCATATTCCAATATTGGCGTGTCATACACGGTGTACAGTAGTGGTACTGTGCTGTTGTTGTTTGTGTTGTTATTGTTTTTATTGGTGGTGGTAGGGTGATGTTAGTGGTGGTGGTGGTGTTACTGATGATGTTTGTAGTGTGTATTGTTGCTGGTGGTGGCAGTGTATATTGGGCTTGGTGGTGGTAGTAGTGTGTGTTGGTGATGGCGGTGGTGGTGGTGGTGGTGGTGTTGATGGTGGTGGTGGTGTTGGTGGTGTTGGTGGTGGTTGCACATTGGTGGAGCCGTGGAGGACTGTTTTGCTGGTGATAAGAGCGTCTAGTATACTATATAAGTAAGGCAGGAGGGAGTGGATGTAGTTTAGCCAGCCAGCCACAACAGTGAGTCAAACTGGAGACTACCATCATCATGGCTGTGAGTTCCTTTGTATTTTACCACTCATGCATACACCAACATAGTCAGTTGGCTACAGATAGGCCTACTGATACACATGTACGCAAGTATAGGCTGAAAACTACAGATAAGCCCAGTGATAGACAAACGCGCATGTACCTGTGGCTACCTGAATACAATCCCACTATTGCAAGGTTATGAAAATTGAGGAAGCGGCCAAAAGACTGAAACCAAATATAGACTCCAAGGTCATAGAGACTTCACTTAGGGATGAATATGTAATGCCAAGCATATATACCCAGACACACTTGATGCCAGTGAAGAGCTCTTGATTCGGGGGATTGGAACTGTCTTTCACTTTTTAGGATGAACCTGATTACCTCTTATTCCCCAAGCAATATATATAATATATATAACAACAATAATACTTTTCTAAATATGACCTTAACCATCCCCCCCCCTCTTTCTCTGTACCACAGGAAATGTCTTCGGAGAAGGTAAAGATGATTGACCCATCACTGGTGTTCCGGCCGGAGGAAGTCATCAGGAAGACTGACCATCAGTTCCGCAGCTTCCAAGAGGAACCGAGTCACCCCAAGATGCAGCAAGTGAAACAGACCTATCTCAACATGCACACACACCAGTCTGTGGAATATGTTAAGTCTAAGGTACTGCTGGTGTGTGTGTTTGTGTGTACACTCACCTAACTGTACTCACCTAATTGTGGTTGTAAGGGTCGAGACTCAGCTCCTGGCTCCTCCTCTTCACTGATCACTACTAGGTCCTCTCTCTGCTCCCTGAGCTTTGTCATACCTCGTCTTAAAGCTATTAATGGTTCCTGCGTCCACTACATCACTTGCTAGACTATTCCACTTCTTGACAAATCTATGACTGCAGAAATACTTCCTAACATTCCTGTGATTCGTCTGAGTCTTCAACTTCCAATTTTGACCCTTTGTTTCTGGGTCCCCTCTCTGGAACATCCTGTCTCTGCCCACCTTATCTATTCCACGCAGTATTTTGTATGTCATTATCATGTCTCCCCTGACCCTCCTGTCCTCCAGTGTCGTCCGGCCGATTTCCCTCATCCTTTCTTCGTAGACATTCCCCTGAGCTCCGGAATTAACTTCGTTGCAAACCTTTGCACTTTCTCTAATCTCTTGACGTGTTGACTAGGTGTGGGTTCCAAACTGGTGCTGCATACTCCAGTATGGGCCTGACGTACACAGTGTGCAGTGTCTTGAACGATTCCTTACTAAGGTATTTGAAAGATATTCTCAAGTTTGCCAGGCGCCCATATGCTGCAGCAGTTATCTGGTTGATGTGTGCTTCCGGAGACGTGCTCGGTGTTATGCTCAGCCCAAGATCTTTCTCCTTGAGTGAGGTTTGCAGTCTTCGTCCGCCCAGGATATACTCTGTCTTTGGTCTTATTTGCCCTTCCCCAATCTTCATGATTTCGCATTTGGCGGGGTTGAATTCGAGAAGCCAATTGCTGGACCACGTGTCCAGCTTGTCCAGGTATCTTTGTAGTCCTGCCTGATCCTCATCTGATTTAATTCTCCTCATTAACTTCCCATCATCTGCAAACAGGGACACTTCTGAGTCTATCCCTTCTGTCATGTCATTCACAAATACCAAAAATAGCACTGGTCCTAGGAATGACCCCTGTGGAACCCTGCTCGTCACAGGCGCCCACTGTGATACCTCATCACGTACCATGACTCGTTGTTGCCTCCCTGTCAGGTATTCTCTGATCCATTGCAAAGCCCTTCCTGTTATACGTGCCTGATCCTCCAGCTTCTGCACTAATCTCTTGTGAGGAACTGTGTCGAAGGCCTTCCTACAGTCTAGGAAAATGCAATCAACCCACCCCTCTCTCTCGTGTCTTACATCTGTTACTTTATCATAAAACTCCAGAAGGTTTGTGACACAGGATTTGCCTTCCATGAATACGTGCTGATTGTCATTTATAATCTTGTTCCATTCCAGGTGCTCCACCACTCTCCTCCTGAAAATCTTCTCCATGACTCTGCATACTATACACGTCAGTGACACTGGTCTGTAGTTTAGTGCCTTGTTTCTGTCTCCTTTCTTAAATATGAGGACTACATTAGCGGCACACACAGCATCTCTGCTCCTTCTCTAAGGACCCATGCGGAGATGTTGTCCAGTCCCTTCGCCTTTGAGGTATCAAGGTCACTTAGTAGCTTCTGCACCTCCTCTTCAGTTGTGTGTATGTCATCCAACAAAGACAGGATGTTCCAGAGATGGGACACAGCAACAAGGGGACACAGTTGGAAGCTGAAGACACAGATGAATCACAGGGATGTTAGGAAGTATTTCTTCAGCCACAGAGTAGTCAAGAAGTGGAATAGTTTGGGAAGCGATGTAGTGGAGGCAGGATCCATACATGGCTTTAAGCAGAGGTATGATAAAGCTCACGGTTCAGGGAGAGTGACCTAGTAGCGACCAGTGAAGAGGCGCGGCCAGGAGCTTGGACTCGACTCCTGCAACCTCAACTAGGTGAAAACTAGGTGAGTACTTGTTGGTATATTCCCTGTTAGTGTTCCTCTCTGTGCTGTCTTCCCAGAGCCCTTCCTATCTCTACTGTGAATTTTTCCTTAAATCTCGTGTTGAGCTCCTCACATACCTCTTGACCATTTCTTGTGAGTTCCCCACCTTCTTTCCTCAGCCTGATCACCTGGTCTTTGACTGTTGTCTTTCTCCTAATGTGGCTATACAGCAGCTTCGGGTCAGACTTGACTTTCGATGCTGTTGTTTTCGTGGTGTGGCTGGGCTTCCCTCTAATCTGTGCATACTCGTTTCTGGGTCTTCGACTAATCTCCTTATTTTCCTGGGTTCTTTGCCTTCTGTACTTTTTCCATTCTCTAGTGCACTTAGTTTTTGCTTCCCTTCACCTTCGGATAAACCAAGGCCTCGTTCTGGTCTTCCCATTATTTCTGTTGCCCTTGAGAACAAACCTTTCCTCTGCTTCCTTGCATTTTGTTATTATGTATTCCATCATTTCGTTTACTGACTTTCCTACCAATTCTCTTTCCCACTGAACCTCCTGCAGGAAGTTCCTCATGCCTGTGTAGTCCCCCCTTTTAAAGTTTGGCTTTTCCCATTCAACACCTGTTACCCTCTCCACTTGTAACTCTACTATGTATTCAAAGCACAGAACCACGTGATCACTAGCTCCGAGGGGCCTCTCATATATGATGTCCTCAATGTCTGAACTGCTCAGGGTGAACACGAGGTCCAGTCTTGTTGGTTCATCCTCCCCTCTAAACATGCTGATGAATGAGGTTTTCCAGTACCACATTCATCATCTTGACTCTCCATGTATCGGGACCCCAGTGTGGCTCCAGGTTTTCCCAGTCGATCTCCCTGTGGTTGAAATCGCCCATAACCAGTAACTGTGCTCTGCCCGAGTGAGTTCTTCTTGCCACCTCAGCCAGTGTCTACCATCACCTTGTTGCTCTCTTCATATTCCTCTCTTGGCCTCCTGCAGTTCTTTGGTGGATTATACATAACTGCAATGACTACCTTATGCTCCCCAGACTGAAATGTACCTTCAGCCTCGTCCATGCCTTTCATTTCCTCAAATCTCAATCAGTTTTTTTACGAGCAGTGCAACCCCTCCTCCCCCTCTCCTCCTTCTATCTTTCCTAAGGATCTGATATCCTGGTGGGAAGATTGCGTCTGTTATTGTCTCATTGAGTTATGTTTCTTTGTCTGCTATGATGTCTGGGGACTTCTCATTAATTCTTCCATGCCACTCCTCTTATTTATTAGTTATTCCATCCTTGTTCATGTACCAAACCTTCAACTTCTTTTCTAAAACTGTTGTCCTGGGAGAACATTGGGGTTGGGGGAGCAGGAGCCCTGGTGGGGGCCTATGGGGGTTGTGGTGGGGGTGATGGTGGGGTGTGGGTTCCCATAGGGGGTTGTTTGTGGCGTGGGGGGTGGGTACAGAGGGATCAGTGTGTGAGTGTCGGTTTAGATTGTTCAGTTGTTTTGGGTTGTCGTGGTTGGAGTCCTTCTGCAGGTGTTTCTGGAGGGTGTGTTTTCTCTTCCACCTGTGTCTGGGTTCTTCTGCTCATCTTCGTCATTTCCTCTCGTCCCTCCTTTCATTTTTGTACTCTCTCTTTCAGTATCATCCTTTCCTCTTGTGTTCTGTCTTGATCGAGGTACACACTCTGGTACTCTGGTTTGTCTCTCAGTCATGCTTTCTCCTGCAGGATCTTGGTTCGAGTTGTGTTCGTGTGTGTGTGTGTGTGTGTGACTCACCTATTTGTGGTTGCAGGGGTCGAGTCATAATTCCTGGTCCTGCCTCTTCACTGATTGCTAATAGGTCCTCTCTCTCTCCCTGCTCTGAGCTTTATCAAACCTCATCTTAAAACTATGAATGGTTCCTACTTCCACCACATCACTTGCCAGACTATTCCACTTCCTGACAACTCTATGACTAAAGAAATACTTCCTAACATCCCTTTGACTCATTTGAGTTTTCAACTTCCAATTTTGACCCTTTGTTTATGTGTGCCATCTCCGAAACATTCTGTCTGTCCACCTTGTCAATTCCTCGCAGTATTTTGTATTTCGCTATCATGTGTTCCCTAACCCTACTGTCCTCCAGTGTCATCCGGCTGATTTCCCTTAACCTTTCTTCGTAGGACATTCCCCTTAGCTCCAGGACTAGTCTTGTTGTAAACCTTTGCACTTTCTCTAATTTCTTGAAATGCTTGAATAGGTCAATGCCGCGGGGGCGTTGACCCCCGGAACTCTCTCCAGGTAAACTCCAGGTGTGGGTTCCAGACTGGTGCTGCATACTCCAGTGTGGGCCTGATGTAAACGGTGTGCATTCTAGAACGATTCCTTACTGAGGTATCAGGCACGCATGTGCTGCAGCAGTTAACTGGTTGATGTGTGCTTCCAGAGATGTGCTCAGTGTGTGTGTGTGTGTGTGTGTGTGTGTACTCATCTAGTTGTACTCACCTACTTGTGGTTGCTTGGGCCGAGTCACAGCTCCTGGCCCCGCCTCTTCACCTGGCCGCTACCTGGTCACTCTTCACGCTCCGTAAGCTTTATCATACCACTTCTTAAAGCTATGTATGGATCCTGCCTCCACTACATCACTACCCAGGCTATTCCACTTCCTGACAACTCTATGACTGAAGAAATACTTTCTAACATCCACTCTGTCAATTCCTCTCAGTATTTTATGTGTCGTTATCATGTCCTCCCTATCTCTCCTGTCCTCCAGTGTCGTCAGGTCGATTTCTCTTAACCTCTCCTCGTAGAACATACCCCTTAGCTTTGGGACTAGTCTTGTTGCAAACCTTTGCACTTTCTCTAGTTTCTTTACGTTCTTGGCTAGATGTGGGTTCCAAACTGGTGCCGCATACTCCAATATGGGCCTAACATACACAGTGTACAGGGTTCTGAACGATTCCTTATTAAGATGGCGGAATGATGTTCTTAGGTTTGCTAGGCGCCCATACGCAGCAGCAGTTATTTGGTTGATGTACACCTCAGGAGATGTGCCTGGTGCTATACTCGCCCCAAGATCTTTTTCCTTTAGTGAGGTTTGCAGTCTCTTTTCCCATAGACTGTACTCCGTCTGTGGTCTTCTTTGCCCTTCCCCAATCTTCATGCCTTGCACTTGGTGAGGTTGAACTCCATGAGCCAATTGCTGGACCAAGCCTGCAGCCTGTCCAGATCCCTTTGTAGTTCTTCCTGCTCCTCGTCCAATTGAATTCTTCTCATCAACTTCACATCATCTGCAAACAGAGACTCTTCGGAGTCTATTCCTAGGACCGGTCCTTGGACTGACCTCTGTAGAACCCCACTCATCCCAGGTGCCCACTCTGACACCTCGCTGCATACCATGACTTGCTACTGCCTTCCTGACAGGTATTCCTTGATCCATTGTACTACCTTCCTTGTTATCCCTGCCTGGTCCTCCAGCTTTTGCAAAAAATCTCTTGTATGGAACTGTGTCAAATGCCTTCTTACAGCCCAAGAAAATGCAATCTACCTACCCCTGTCTCTCTCTCTTGTCTTACTGCTGTCACCCTGTTATAGAACTCCAGTAGGTTTGTGACACAGGATTTCCCGTTCCTGAAACCTTGTTGGCTGTTGTTGATGAGCTCATTCCTTTACCTGGAGTTTACCTGGAGAGAGTTCCGGGGGTCAACGCCCCCGCGGCCCGGTCTGTGACCAGGCCTCCTGGTGGATCAGAGCCTGATCAACCAGGCTGTTACTGCTGGCTGCATGTAATCCAACGTACGAGCCACAGTCCGGCTGGTCAGGTACCGACTTTAGGTGCTTGTCCAGTGCCAGCTTGAAGACTGCCCGGGGTCTATTGGTAATCCCTTTTATGTATGCTGGGAGGTAGATGAACAGTCTCGGGCCCCTGACACTTATTGTATTGTCTCTTAACGTGCTAGTGACACCCCTGCTTTTCATTGGGGGGATGTTGCATCGTCTGCCAAGTCTTTTGCTTTCGTAGTGAGTGATTTTCGTGTGCAAGTTCGGTACTAGTCCCTCTAGGATTTTCCAGGTGTATATAATCATGTATCTCTCCCGCCTGCGCTCCAGGGAGTACAGGTTCAGGAACTTCAAGCGCTCCCAATAATTGAGGTGTTTTATCTCCGTTATGCGCGCTGTGAAGGTTCTCTGTACATTTTCTAGGTCAGCAATTTCACCTGCCTTGAAAGGTGCTGTTGGGATCTTAAGTGTCGTAAAAACAGCCTTGTGGTCAGACGATCTCTGTCTCTCTCTCTCTCTCTCTGTCTCTCTCTCTCTGTCTCTCTCTCCTCTCTCTCTCTCTCTCTCTCTCTCTCTCTCTCTCTCTCTCTCTTTTTTACACAGGGTTTGACAAGGTTAAGGATCCCTAGCTTTATTGACAAGCTATTTACAGGTTAAGGATTCCTAACTTTATTGGCAAGCTAAGAGCTGTTACCTACATCAGCTCATTTGAAAGCATTTTTATTGTTATGAGACATACAAGTAGGAAACAGGATGAAGTTGGAGCCATCTGTGGGCCAGCATTTTCATTTGATCAACTGACTTTATCTCGTTGACATCATTGTGCTGTACGAATGTGTTCCATACTCGAGTCATCCTTGGTATATATGATCTCAGATGGAGTGATGTTCTGGAGAAGAGTACAGCCAGAGTGAAATTAATGCTTTCTGCCCGTCTTGTGGCATAAAAGCTTGTTTCACGCTGTCCTCGAAGTGGATCCAAGTGTGGTATTTTGACAATATTGGCCTTGTACATAACAGTAAGGCCACCCACATCCCTCCTATGTTGAAGGCTCTGCTGAAATGCCAGATCTATCAAGGATGGGTCCAGGCGAGAGATGAGACGTCTTGCTCTGTTCTCTACTCTGTCAAGCAGTCGCAGATGAGAGGGGGGGCAGGCAAACCAAGAAAGTGGAGCATACTCAAGGTGTGAGCGTACTTGTGCCTCGTACAGAATCTTGCAACTCCTACTGTCAAGCAGATGCGAGAAACGGCGAAGTGCTGTAAGCTTCCTGGCTGCCTTGTTTGCAAGATTTACAACATGGTTCTTCATGGTTAGTTTGGAGTCAAATTTCACCCCAAGGATATCAACTTCTCCAGGTACCAACACCCTCCCATTCATTCTTACTACTGCACCAGCATTACCATCATGGTGCCTAGAGACGATCATCATTTGTATTTTCTCAGCTCTTAGGTGGTGATTGATGTAGCTTAGTTATGGAACACTTGCCCCAATACTAGGGAGGCCAAGCCCATGATGACACTCTTCAGGTCACTTGTTCTATCTAGGCTGGAATATTGCTGCACTCTAACAGCACCTTTCAAGGCAGGTGAAATTGCCGACCTAGAAAATGTACAGAGAACTTTCACGGCGCGCATAACGGAGATAAAACACCTCAATTACTGGGAGCGCTTGAGGTTTCTAAACCTGTATTCCCTGGAACGCAGGAGGGAGAGATACATGATTATATACACCTGGAAAATCCTAGAGGGACTAGTACCGAACTTGCACACGAAAATCACTCACTACGAAAGCAAAAGACTTGGCAGACGATGCACCATCCCCCCAATGAAAAGCAGGGGTGTCACTAGCACGTTAAGAGACCATATAATAAGTGTCAGGGGCCCGAGACTGTTCAACTGCCTCCCAGCACACATAAGGGGGATTACCAACAGACCCCTGGCAGTCTTCAAGCTGGCACTGGACAAGCACCTAAAGTCAGTTCCTGATCAGCCGGGCTGTGGCTCGTACGTTGGTTTGCGTGCAGCCAGCAGCAACAGCCTGGTTGATCAGGGGCTGATCCACCAGGAGGCCTGGTCACAGACCGGGCCGCGGGGGCGTTGACCCCCGAAACTCTCTCCAGGTAAACTCCAGATAGGATGTCTTGCTGATTCCCTCTCTCTCTCTCTCTCTCTCTCTCTCTCTCTCTCTCTCTCTCTCCTCTCTTCTCCTCTGTCTCTCTCTGTCTCTCTTCCTCTCTGTCTCTCTCTCTTCTCTGTCTCTCTCTCTGTCTCTCTCTCTGTCTCTCTCTCTGTCTCTCTCTCTGTCTCTCTCTCTGTCTCTCTCTCTGTCTCTCTCTCTGTCTCTCTCTCTGTCTCTCTCTCTGTCTCTCTCTCTGTCTCTCTCTCTGTCCTCTCTCTCTGTCTCTCTCTCTGTCTCTCTCTCTGTCTCTCTCTCTGTCTCTCCGTCTCTCTCTCTCTCTCTCTCTCTCTCTCTCTCTGTCTCTCTCTCTGTCTCTCTCTCTCTCTCTCTCTCTCTCTTCTCTCTCTCTCTCTCTCACTATATATATATACATATGAGCAACATATGGGTACTAATGGCTGGGTGTGAGTAGTAACTTAAGCAAAGACCAGAAGGCTTACTACATATGTCTCTTTTCTTCTTCTCTAATCTCATGTCTGTCCCACCAGCTCAGTGAATGGGGAAATTGCAATAAATTTGAGGCAACAATTTTTGAGGCGCTGGAGAAACTGAACGACCTCATAGACGAGAGTGATCCAGATGTTAACATTCCCAACATAGTGCACGCGTTCCAGACTGCTGAGTGCATCCGCAAGGCTTACCCAAACGATGACTGGTTCCACCTGACCGGACTCATTCATGATTTAGGCAAGGTGAGATTCTGGTTTAAACCAACTGGGTACACCCGCAATGTGCGGCTATCGTTTATGATTGTTGCACTGTAAGAACAAATGCTTGTTGTTTATTATATTCAGTCACACAGAATGGGCTGCGTGCAATGAGATTTATTAGCCTGAGATGAGAGACTTTAGCATGGTGAGAAAGATAAGGTTGAAGGTTATATTTTATATCTTCTCCAAGTTTTTCTCTATATTAATTTACTGTTTTTAAAGATACTTAAATATTAAGATTGGTATAATTATCGTTTTTCTTTGAGTAGTTTAAATGACAAGTGTGGAGGTCCAGTGCACTGCTAGGTCCCTCATCACCTGCCTGGACACAGTAATGCTGTGATGCTCTCTTAGGTTTCAAGTATCGGCTGCATAAGGTCATTAATGCTACATTTTGACCTGTGCACCACCAGCCAGGGATACTTCGTTTTGTAAAATAGGAATTACAAAATACTTTCAATATGTATACACCGAGAAAAAACCTTTTTTTTTTATACAAAGCCATTATTAGTCTGCCCTTGCCCTTACCTCAGCAATTATTATCAACAGCCTCAGACTCCAACTAAAGTACTAAAACCCTCCAGGCTGCTACCTATAACAGGTGCCTAACTCCACGTAATTACTTAACTGCTAGGAGTTCAGGGCAGCAGTCTAAATAACATCCCATGTCTCTCAATCTGTACCGTAGAATATGATTAACCACTTTGAATCGACACTGTCTGTCTATATAACTAGGTGAGTGTCACTCCACCTCATACACTCTACAAATGTATCTATGTATGTTTATGGATCAGTTTACATATAACTCCAGTGTTTAAATATATGAAAAATATGTGGACTTTAAATCACTTAGGAGTACTCGTCCCATCTGTATTTTCTGTCTCAACTATGATACAGGAATCGCTTAGTTGTGACTCACAACCGTCATGTAACACTGGATGAACAAAGGTAGCAGGTATAACAGTCGTGTAACACTGGATGAACAAAGGTAGCAGGTATAACAGTCATGTAACACTGGATGAACAAAGGTAGCAGGTATAACAGTCATGTAACACTGGATGAACAAAGGTAGCAGGTATAACAGTCATGTAACACTGGATGAACAAAGGTAGCAGGTAAACAGTCGTGTAACACTGATGAACAAAGGTAGCAGGTATAACAGTCTGTTAACACTGGATGAACAAAGGTAGCAGTATAACAGTCATGTAACACTGGATGAACAAAGGTAGCAGGTATAACAGTCGTGTAACACTGGATGAACAAAGGTAGCAGGTATAACAGTCGTGTAACACTGGATGAACAAAGGTAGCAGGTATAACAGTCGTGTAACACTGGATGAACAAAGGTTGCAGGTATGACAGTGGTGCCCGTGGTTTGCTGTGGTGCTCATGGCCTGGTAGGCAGCGCTCTTGCTTCACACGCTAAGTGTACGTGGTTCGATCCCCAGAAAGGATGAAAACATTGGGCGTCTTTCCTTACACCTGTTGTCACGTTCACTTAGTAAGCAAGTAGGTACCTGGATGTTAGTCGACTGGTGTGGGTCGCATCCTGGGGAACAAGATTCATGATCCCTGGGTGGTTAACCCTCCGGGCTTAAAAATCCGGACAAAACTTTATCTTATCTTAAAATTCGTCTAACAGCTGGATGGAAAAAGGTCGCAGGTATAAATTTCATTTAACATGTGTATGAACAAGGGTAGCGGGTTATATAACACCTGCATGAACAAAGGTACCTAGCAAATATAAGTCATATAACACCTGCATGAACAAAAGTAGCAAATATAACAATCATCGAACACCAGCATAAACAAAGGTAGCAGGTATAACAGTCGTCTAACACCTGCATAAACAAAGGTAGCAGGAACAGCAGTCATCTAACATCTGCATGAACAAAGGTAGCAGGCGTAACGGTCGTCTAACACCTGTATGAACAAAGGTAGCAGGTATAACAGTCGTCTGACACCTGTATGAATAAGGGTAGCAGGAACAGCAGTCATCTAACATCTGCATGAACAAGGTAGCAGGTATAACAGTCGTCCACCACCTGCATGAACAAGGTAGCAGGTATAACAGTCGTCCACCACCTGCATGAACAAGATAGCAGGTATAACAGTCGTCCACCACCTGCATGAACAAGGTAGCAGGTATAACAGTCGTCCACCACCTGCATGAACAAGATAGCAGGAAACATCGTCCACCACCTGCATGAACAAGGTAGCAGGTATAACAGTCGTCCACCACCTGCATGAACAAGTTAGTAGCTATAACAGTCGTCCACCACCTGCATGAACAAGATAAGAGGTAAGATAAGATTTCGTTCGGATTTTTAACCCCGGAGGGTTAGCCACCCAGGATAACCCAAGAAAGTCAGTGCGTCATCGAGGACTGTCTAACTTATTTCCATTGGGGTCCTTAATCTTGTCCCCCAGGATGCGACCCACACCAGTCGACTAACACCCAGGTACCTATTTGCTGCTAGGTGAACAGGACAACAGGTGTAAGGAAACGTGTCGAAATGTTTCCACCCGCCGGGAATCGAACCCGGGCCCTCCGTGTGTGAAGCGGGAGCTTTAGCCACCAGGCCACCACCTGTCGTCCACCACCTGCATGAACAAGATAGCAGGTATAACAGTCGTCCACCACCTGCATGAACAAGGTAGCAGGTATAACAGTCGTCCACCACGTGCATGAAGAAGATAACAGGTACAACAGTCGTCCACCACCTGCATGAACAAGATAGCATGTATAACAGTCGTCTAACTCCTGCATGAACAAAAGTAGCAGGTGTGGAACAATATAAACAGGGATTAGATTTTGTCACCGAAGTGGCTAGTTTATTGTGCACCTCATATCCATCGTGTGGACGGTAGTGCCAGAACATATCCATCGTGTGGACGGTAGTGCCAGTAACCATATCCGTCGTGTGGATGAGGTAGTGCCCAGACACATTCCCATCCATGTGTGACGGGAGTGCCAGAACATATCCATCCTGTAGACGGTAGTGCCAGAACATATCCATCCTGTGGACGGTAGTGCCAGAATATATCCATCCTGTGGACGGTAGCGCCAGAACATATCCATCCTGTGGACGGTAGCGCCAGAACATATCCATCCTGTGGACGGTAGCGCCAAACATATCCATCCCTGTGGACGGTAGCACCAGAACATATCCATCATGTGGACGGTAGCGCCAGAACATATCCATCCTGTGGACGGTAGTGCCAGAACATATCCATCGTGTGGACGGTAGTGCCACAACATATCCATCGTGTGGACGGTAGTGCCAGAACATATTCATCGTGTGGACGGTAGTGCCAGAACATATCCATCGTGTGGATGGTAGCGCCAGAACATATCCATCGTGTGGATGGTAGCGCCAGAACATATCCATCGTGTGGACGGTAGCGCCAGAACAAATCCATCGTGTGGACGGTAGCGCCAGAACATATCCATCATGTGGACGGTAGTGCCAGAACATATCCATCGTGTGGACGGTGGCACCAGAACATATCCATTGTGTGGACAGTAGCGCCAGAACATATCCATTGTGTTTAAGGTAGCTCCAGAACATATCCATCGTGTGGACGGTAGCGCCAGAACATATCCATCGTGTGGACGGTAGCGCCAGAACATATCCATCGTGTGGACAGTAGCGCCAGAACATATCCATCGTGTGGATGGTAGCGCCAGAGCATATCCATCCTGTGGACGGTAGCGCCAGAACATATCCATCGTGTGGACGGTAGCACCAGAACATATCCATCGTGTGGACGGTAGCGCCAAAACATATCCATCCTGTGGACGGTAGCGCCAGAACATATCCATCCTGTGGACGGTAGCGCCAGAACATATCCATCGTGTGGACGGTAGCGCCAGAACATATCCATCGTGTGGACAGTGCCAGAACATATCCATCGTGTGGACGGTAGCGCCAGAACATATCCATCGTGTGGACGGTAGTGCCAGAACATATCCATCCTGTGGACGGTAGTGCCAGAACATATCCATCCTGTGGACAGTAGCGCCAGAACATATCCATCGTGTGGACGGTAGTGCCAGAACATATCCATCGTGTGGACGGTAGCGCCAGAACATATCCATCGTGTGGATGGTAGCGCCAGAACATATCCATCCTGTGGACGGTAGCGCCAGAACATATTCATCGTGTGGACAGAAGTGCCAGAACATATCCATCGTGTGGACGGTAGCGCCAGAACATATCCATCGTGTGGACGGTAGCGCCAGAACATATCCATCGTGTGGACGGTAGCGCCAGAACATATCCATCGTGTGGACGGTAGCGCCAGAACATATCCATCGTGTGGACGGTAGTGCCAGAACATATCCATCGTGTGGACGGTAGCGCCAGAACATATCCATCGTGTGGACGGTAGTGCCAGAACATATCCATGTGGGGACGGTAGTGCCAGAACAAAATCCATCGTGTGGACGGTAGTGCCAGAACATATCCATCGTGTGGACGGTAGTGCCAGAACATATCCATCCTGTGGACGGTAGTGCCAGAACATATCCATCGTGTGGACGGTAGCGCCAAAACATATCCATCGTGTGGACGGTAGCGCCAGAACATATCCATCGTGTGGACTGTAGCGCCAGAACATATCCATCGTGTGGACGGTAGCGCCAGAACATATCCGTCGTGTGGGCGGTAGTGCCAGAACATATCCGTCGTGTGGACGGTAGCGCCAGAACATATGGATACACAAAAGGGTTAACAGGTGTACATATGGATTTATATCTACATATCTGCACTTCACTTATTTGTTACAAACAAATTTAGGAAACTTGCTTAGTATATCTTACCTGGAGTTTACCTAGAGAGGGTTTCGGGGGTCAACGCCCCCGCGGCTCGATCTGAGACCAGGTCTCACATTTGATCAGGGTCTGATCAACCAGGCTGTTACTACTGGCCGCACGCAAGCTGACGTGCGAACCACAGCCCGGTTGGTCAGGAATTGACTTTAGGTGCCTGTCCAGTACCTTCTTAAAGACAGCCAGGGGCCTATTGGTAATCCCCCTCATGTAGGCTGGGAGGCAGTTGAACAGTCTTGGACCCCGGACACCTGTTGTGTTGTCTCTCAATGTACTCGTGGAGCCCCTGCTTTTAACTGGGGAAATGTTGCATCTCCTGCCGAGTCTTTTGCTTTCATAGGGAGTGATTTTCGTGTGCAGATTTGATACCAATCCCTCCAGGACCTGGTATCTTATTTTTCATTAATAAAATGTCTTGACATGTCATATAGGTTATTATACTGTTTATCTCTGTGTAATAACAGGGTGTCAGAAAATAATTAACTGTGTTTAGTCCCCACACTACAGGTAGGTTCTCCAGGAGGGGTCCTGGTCTGGATCTCCTCCATGCGGTGACCCGGCATCTCCATACTAATATTGTCACTTTCCATTTCAGTGAAGCAGGTATCATTAACAATAGTAATCTCCTGATTGTGCCTCTCAGGTGATGGCTTTCTATGGAGAACCACAATGGTCAATAGTCGGAGACACATTCGCGGTGGGATGCGAGTTTCCAGACTCCATCGTGTACCGTCATTCCACTTTCCACAACAATCCAGACTTAAATAACCCCAAGTTCAAGTAAGTGTTGTTGCAGAGTTGAAACCCATTACCAATGTATTCCTTAGTGCAGAAGCAAAATTAAAGAGTCTATATGATAATAAGACAAAAATTCTTCTTCTTCTTCTTCTTCTTCTTCTTCTTCTTCTTCTTCTTCTTCTTCTTCTTCTTCTTCTTCTTCTTTTTCTTCTTCTTCTACTTTTTTTTTTTACACAGGGTTTGACAAGGTTATAGATCCCTAGCTTTATTGACAAGCTATTTACAGGATAAGGATTCCTAACTTTATTGGCAAGCTAAGAGCTGTTACCTACATCAGCTCATTTGAAAGCATTTTTATTGTTATGAGACATACAAGTAGGGAACAGGATGAAGTTGGAGCCATCTGTGGACCAGCATTTTCATTTGATCAACTGACTTTATCTCGTTGACATCATTGTGCTGTACGAATATGTTCCATACTCGAGCCATCCTGGGTATATATGATCTCAGATGGAGTGATGTTCTGGAGAAGGGTACAGCCAGAGTGAAGTTGCTGCTTTCTGCCCGTCTTGTGGCATAAAAGCTTGTTTCACGCTGTCCTCGAAGTGGATCCAAGTGTGGTACTTTGACAATATTGGCCTTGTACATAACAGTAAGGCCACCCACATCTCTCCTATGTTGAAGGCTCTGCTGAAATGCCAGATCTATCAAGGATGGGTCCAGGCGAGAGATGAGACGTCTTGCTCTGTTCTCTACTCTGTCAAGCAGTCGCAGATGAGAGGGGGGGAGGCAAACCAAGAAAGTGAAGCATACTCAAGGTGTGAGCGTACTTGTGCCTCGTGCAGAGTCTTGCAACCTCTACTGTCAGGCAGATGCGGGATACGGCAAAGTGCTGTAAGCTTCCTGGCTGCCTTGTTTGCAAGATTTACAACATGGTTCTTCATGGTTAGTTTGGAGTCAAATTTCACCCCAAGGATATCAACTTCTTCTCCAGGTGCCAACACCCTCCCATTCATCCTTACTACTGCACCAGCATTACCATCATGGTGCCTAGAGACGATCATCATTTGCGTTTTCTCAGGTGCAAATGTTACTTGCCATCTATTTCCCCAAGCTGATATAACTCTTAGCTGGTGATTGATGTAGCTTAGAGCAACTGGCATTTCTTCTCTTGGATAAGTGGAATGTCAGTGTACAGTCGTCTGCATATGCATGTGATTCTGGGATGAGATGAAGAAGGTCGTTGAAGTAGACATTTCATAACAATGGTCCCAGCACGCTTCCTTGTGGAACACTTGCCCCTACAGGATTTCTTGCTGATTCCATTCCATTGAGAACTACACTTAGAGATCTACCATGAAGGTAATCACTGAGGAGACATAGCGTAGAGCCTGCAATTCCCAGAGCTTGCAGTTTTGCTAAGAGGCCCTGGTGCCACACCCGGTCGAAAGCGCCAGCAATGTCCAGTGCTACCACACAGCTGACTTTGGATTCATCCAGTGACTGGTGCCACTTAGTGGAGAGGTTTAGCAACAGATCAGCAGCAGAGTAACCTTTCCTGAAGCCATATTGACGATCACAAAGTAGTGAGTGGTAGTCAAAAAACTCTGTCATTTGTCTTGAGATTATTGTCTCATGGATCTTACCAGTGATTGACAGGAGTGACACTGGTCTGTAGTTGCTGATTTCTGCTCTGTTCTTCTTTTTGTGAATAGAGACTACATTTGCCTCTTTCCACAGAGAAGGCCATTTACACTGTACTAGGCAGTGCTGAAAGATGCGAGTTAGAGGTGCTGCTAGCTGGTTTGCACATCTCAGCAATCTTGGGCTCAACTTGTCTGGGCCCACAGCCTTTTCTTGGTCAAGTGATTTAAGAAGGAAATGCACCTCCTCCTGCCTTATTGTTACCACTGACAGTTTTGACACAGTTCTTGCAGCTAGCCCAGGAGGGTCCCTTGCTGGATCAGGAACTTGCATTTTGGTGGCAAAGTGTTCGGCAAAGAGGTCCGCCTTCTCTTGACTACTAGTAGAGGTGGTCCCATCCTGTCGATTTAGAGGTGGAATGAGTTCATCAGGCAGATAACCTTGTCTGTCCTTGACCAGGGACCACCAGGTTTTAGAGACTACCCTACCTGATGCTAGCTTTCTGTTTGTGTCCACCTCCCATTTAGCAATGACCCACTTTTGAACGTCAACCATATGCCTACAGGCTTGCCTGTGCAAGTTCCTGTTATAGGTGGTAGAATGTCTCTTATACCTTCGCCATGCTTTGTACTTAGCAGTAGCAGCCTCTCTACAACAAAAGCCAAACCAAGGCTGATCTGTAGGCTTCGTCACATATTGCCGGTGAGGAATGTGTTCTTTTTGTAGATTAAGGATGTGTCCAGTGAAGGCTTTCACTTGGTTGTCAACATCCCCTTGGAGAAGAGCATTCCAATCGGTGGTGGGGAGCTCAGAGCAAAGGGCTGGCCAATTACCCCTTTCCCATAGCCAGGTTGTGCGTGTGGACTCCTCACCTCGTTCTGTTGGGATCTTGAGTGTCGTAAAAACAACCTTGTGGTCAGACGATCCAACGTAGCCGAGGGGTTGGCAAGTGACTATACCTTCTGCCAGATCACTCACTACTGGGTCAAGGGAGTAGCCAGAGATGTGAGTAGGGAAATCAACAAAGTTTCTCATGTCAAATACTGCAAGAAGATCATCAAAGTCCCTCTGTATAAGGTGTTGGTTGAGGTCACCAACAATTATGATATGTTGACAGTTGTGTTGTAGCAGAAGGGAGTCCATATTTTCCATTATGAAGTTGATGGGGTCTGCATGTTGTCACTGAGATCTGTACATTGCACATGCTAGTACAGAGGTACTAGTGTTTATGCAGAGCTTGAAGAACATCATTTCAAGATGAGTAGGGATGGCAACATCAATGTGCTGGGCATGAACACTTTTAGAGAAGCACACAGCAACACCTTCTCCTTGCCCTTGCCTGTCTCTTCTCATCCATGAAGTGTAGCCAGCAATTCTTGCAAAATTTTCTGGTGTCCTGTCGTCCAAAAAATGTTTCAACAACAGCTATCATGGCGGGACGTCGAGTGTTCACAAAACTATGTGTGAGCTCTCCAACATTAGTAATGAAACCACTAATGTTGCTCCTCATGATGTGGTCAGCTTGAGGTGGTGGGTGTGTAAGGCATGTAAGGTGCCTTCCCTTGAGATAGGTAGAGTACTGAGGCAGCTGCAGGGATGTAGGTCTGTGGTCTTGTATAAGGCACAATACCACCTGCTGGGCTGAGATAGGAGTAGCTGAGTGGGTGACGTGTGAGAGTGTTCACCAATTCAGAGATCCTGCTGGTTTGTTCCGAGAACAGGTCTCTAAACAGGTGGTCCTGTCTGTCAAGTTCCTTTTTCTTCCGTCACTGGTCTTCCTGATGTCCTTTCTTGTAGCAGTAATTGCACCTGGTATCTCGCAGGCAGTTGTTGGCGGTGTGCCCCTTCCGGTGACAGTGAGAGCACAGCCTAGGTGCCTGGGAGGGTAGACTATGATATGTTGTACTTCCTGTGTTTTGCTGATTTGTCCTCAGGTTCTGCCGCTGGGATTGTGTTAGTGGAGGGTGAGACAGCTGTAGATGTCTTCCTCCTCCACGTCCTCTTCCACGTTCCATCTTTCCCTCCCTCTCCTCTATCTCTCTCTCTCTCTCTCTCTCTCTCTCTCTCTCTCTCTCTCTCTCTCTCTCTCTCTCTCTCTCTCTCTCTCTCTCTTTCTCTCTCTCTCTCTCTACCTTTCTCTCACTCCCTCTCTATCAATCTTTCCCTGCCTTCTCCTCTATCTCTCTCTCTCTTTCTTTGTCTTTCTCTCTCCACCTCTCATTCTCTCTATCTCTTTCCTCCTCACACATACCTTCCATTCATCTTCCCTTTCCTCCTACCACTCCCCCCTGGCATCACCTCATTTCCCTCCCTTCCCACTCATCATCCCTAGCCTTCTCCCTATCATTCTCTCTCCCTCTCTCTCTATTCCTCTCTCTCTCTCACAAGCTCCTTTCCGTGGTAAAAAAAAAAAAAACGGGTAACCCAAGAGGGCAGAGGACGAACCCATGAGGGAGGAACCTGGGAGGAAAGATTGGGAGTTAGAGCTCACAAAAATGGAGGAAGAGGGGGGAAGGAAGGTAGCAGAGCTCGGCAGGGTAATGGAGGAGAGGATAGCTGAAGAGAGCAGGAAGTGGGGACTACAAGCCTTAGCAGCAGAAGATAAGATAAAGTGCTTAGAAAAGGAGCTAAAAAACCTGAAACAGACTGAAGACAATGACTAAAACAGACTGAAGACAACAGACTGAAGACAACGAAGGAGACATGACATATGTAGAGACTCTAGCACTCAACTACAGTGGGAGGGAACAGCTGGGCAGGGAAGACAGTCCACTGAGCATAGGGGCTGCAGCAAGGGCAGGAGTTGAAGGCAGGAACGTTTCGATGGAAAGAGCCAAAACACCTCAGAGGATGCAAAGAGAGATACAGTGGGAGGAGGAGAATGAGAGGTCAGTGTTTGTCTACGGGCTCCAGGAAGTCGAAGGGGAAACCTACGATGAAAGAAACCAGGGGGAGAAGAAAGCGATCGAAGGTATCATGAAAGCAACAGGTGAGGGAAACATGACCCAGGTGGCAAATTTTCAGAGAATTGGGTAGTTTGCAGGTGGAAGGAGACAGCCTGTCAAAGTAATCTTCAAGGCAGAATCAGCTCGAACCAGGGTCCTGTAGGAGAAAGCACTACTGAGTGATAAACCAGAGTACTGGAGAGTGCACCTAGATCACGACAGAACACAGCAGGAAAGGATGATACTGAGAGAGAGGGTACAAAGACAAAAGGAGGAATGGGATGCATCGCTGAAGACGAGCAGAACCCAGACTCACCTGGAGTTTACCTGGAGAGAGTTTCGGGGGTCAACGCCCCCGCGGCCCGGTCTGTGACCAGGCCTCCTGGTGGATCAGCGCCTGATCAACCAGGCTGTTGCTGCTGGCTGCACGCAAACCAACATACGAGCCACAGC